CACCTTCCTAGTTTATAAACTTTATTTGAAAATACGTTTTTTCTAAATAACTCGGCCGCTTTTTGAGATTCTTAATGTTTTTCTTTTGGAAACACTAGATAAAATGACGAACTTAAATTTTGTCAAATAAAAGAAAAAACGATTTTCTTGGCCTCTGAAGTTGGGAAGTAACCTTAAACACAATGAAGGGTACAGTGGAGAGTTACCTTAAAAGATAGCACAGCCATTCAAAACAGTACAGTTCCAAGCCTGAAAAATCACACCTAGTTCTGAAAGCCTCAAAAAACCAGAAAACTGTTTTGAGCCACCTTAAATATGTATTGTGGAAATCCACGAGATGGATATTATTTCCATCAACAAAACAATGACAAAAGAATCAAACCAAACAAAGACTTTTGTTTTTGTCGTGGCTCCACAAAGAGCCGTTTTAAAATTTTCTTGAATTTTTTGTACGAGCAAGTACTAACTTCTTTTATAAGTTTCTGATTTAACTAGGCTGTTGATCGAGGTCATAGAGTATGTGAGGTTTAAGAATAACTATTTCTGGAATGATAGCACTATCATTAGAGGTGAAAATTGTGAACATTTCTCTTTCTACTGCGGTTTGAGCACATTTTACCAACACTCACACTTTCAGGCATTATGTAACTTTTTTTGGGCANGTCCGAAGGTGCCCATACACCTATGTCTAAATTCCCTTGTAATGCTGCACTAACCATCATGCAACATCTTTGTCTTCACAGTATGGCACATACACCACCACATATTGCAACCTGGGTTTTGACAACCTTTCCACAGTTAGCCTTGTGGAGACAACCATGCTGCTGATGCACCTTACAGTAATCCCATAGACAGCTCTTTCCACAGAACTCAGTTGAGTGGAGAACAAGCCATTGCATTTGAGGTATATGAAACGATTTCCAAATTAGTACTTAAAAGACATAAATTTTTACGTACAGCAAACAGTGCAGCTGGCCAAAAAGACTAGTTCATTGAGCTATGGACTACCTACATGAAGGGAACAAGTAGCAGAGAGAACATTAGCCTTCACAATTAGTTCAGCTGGGAGTAGCATGAAAATTTATTTCGTGAACTTTTCATGTTGCAAAGAGAGCTTTGGCTAGCATGAACTTTTATGCAAGTGAATATATGAAAGACCATATATTTGAACTGGGGAGAAAGATATGAAGACGTGATTGATCATTGCAATTATATACACAACTTAAGCAGTTGAGAAATTAAAGCCTGAAAATAAATTTCAGGCATGAACGGGATTCGAACCCATGACCTCTGCGATACTGGTACACTACTCTACCAACTGAGCAATCAAGCCAACTGGGAGCTGATAATATTGTGAGTTCGTTATATACCAGTTGGCTTGATAGCTCAGTTGGTAGAGCAGTGCACTGCTATCGCAGAGGTTGTGGTTTCGAATCTTGCTCGGGCCTGAATTTTTTTCAGGCTTTAATTTCACAACTGCTTAAGTTGTGTATATAACTGCGATGATCAATCA